GCTTCAGGTGTGTTTGATTAGGGTTGGAGCTGAACTTTGCAGGACAGTCGATCGCCAGGAGCAGGGTTGGGCACCCATGCCCTAGAGGGTTCTTCTGTCATCAGATGTGAAATTCATGTGACTCTTTCAAGGTTAAGAACAATATTCGGGATGGTTGTTCCAGCTGCACCTGGATAGACTCTGTATTCCTTATTTGAATCAGTATTATTAACAATGCACACATAGAGGTTTTTTAAGATTGATAACCATGCTTTCATGACTAGGGCATTTCACTCCTAGTTGCCAATGTTTATGTAAACAGGCATATTTTCCCACATACTGTATACGGTTGTTTTTCTAATGAGGTTTCCTCATAGTACTGATAAATGAACTCCACTGAGCATATGTCTGTTCTGAGGAACAGTTCAACATGTTCCTAGTCAACAAAACAAGTAGATACTAATGTTGTTATGTCACAAGCTGAATTCAAGAATTGCTAATGGATGTTTTGACAGCTTAAGTGCAAAAACCCATTCAAGATTCTCTACTTTTTATTCAGGCTGGGTGGAAGGAACTCGTCTGTCAGACAGACAACGTGGTTGGGCCCCCGAGTCTCACCTGGAGACAATAGTCAGCGGCAAAGCAAGAAAGCGCAACCTGCTGGACACCATGAAAATTGCTACAGCTGCAATGTGAAGCGATATGTGAATCCTTCAAGGTTCTCAGGTGGACTTTTTCTACCACTATTTTTTAGTATTACTTTAAAGTCTTATGCAAAAAGAACTTCAAGGGTTTGTCTTAACTTCGTGGGAAGTTTCTATTTATTTTGTATACACTTAAGCTGATAAGGGTGATGTGGGTGTTATGGCCTCACCCATGTCAGGGTACTACTCCACACCCTGCTAAAGGGTCTGGTAAGATGCTGAATTAAGGCAACGGAACTCCTTAGATATCCCATGGACATCTATGGACCTTGCAAATTGCGCAAATACAGCCATAAGCAGAACCTGCTCCAATTGAGCTTCTATGCAGCTTCCATAGTTTTTATATAAGACTCTCTTATGAATTGGAAGTGGGGAGTCACTCTTGGGCAGAAGTTTGGACTACAGTTTTTTGTCCTCATTATGAGCAAGCCGTCTCACTGAGGAACCACAACAGCTGGATACAAGACACCTGCACCAAAACTACTTGTTCTCTGTTATATATAAACATCAGATCCCCTTCAGTGTGGAATATAAATGCTGTCAGACTGCAGCCTCTTGGGAATTCCGTTTGAAGAGAAGATTTTGTTGTGCACCAGGACACATGATGCAAAAGGACAAAATTATTACTAATTGTGAAAAACGGTGGACTTTAAAAGTGCAAATTTTATTTAGGATCATGAATTATGGATGGCTACTTTTTAAGACCAAAAAGTGTACAATTGTGTACAAGGTTGTCTACAATGTACATAATATAGGTTTTTAACATAAAAGCTAAAAGTATTGTTTTCATGGAATAATTCCATCTCTGCTTAGCATATAACTGTAATGTGCCTTAAAAATAAACAGATAATTTGTTTCCTGAAAGTACATTTCATGGTTTAGCAGATGTGGTTTTTAGTCTTATCAAGTGCACTTTTATTATAGGAATTATGGGAAGGCCATTAGGTAGCAAGACCTTAAAAAAGAAGAATCAGAATGAAAGAGTAAAGTGGCACAGGATTCAGTAGGAAATCAAATGCTTTAGTGTGATTTACAATACGAAGAATCAATGAACATTTCATAAATGTTTCTTTCAGTATGACAAAAAAAAAAGACCAGACTATAAACAGCTTCTTGGCTATATGGAAATAAAAAAAATATGACAGTGGAAAATGGTTTTGTGATCAACTAAACTGTACTTGAAATATCCACAAATGATTGGTTCCTGAGGTGAAACTGAAATCTACTTGAGCCCTGACCCGTAATCAATAGTAGCATACAGGAAAATTACATTAAAAGGTACAAGATAATGCAAATACGGTAACACATCACAATTAGACTCAATTTGTTAACATTAGTTAATGTATTAGGTATCATGAACTAACAATGGAAAATAATTTTAAGAATTTTGTGTGAATTTCTACATAGACTAATACATTTTTAGTTTTTCAAGTTTTATAAATAATGCATTATAAATGGGAATAAATCAACAATGAACAATAGTAATGTTGTTGTTGTTGTTGTTTTTAGTTTATGACATCTAATGTCTTAACTAATGTTAACAAACTGAAACTTTTTGTAGTGTTCCCACAAACATTATCTGATAGTAAGGAAGAAGAAGATTGTGATGTAAAGAGAAACTTGCTGTTTTTTATTAGCCACTTGGAAGTTCCAATATGTGCTCGGAGGAGCCATGAATAGTCTAATCTCAAGCACACTGCATCCAAGAACAAAATTTAAACTCAGAGGTGACCGGGCATTTGCAGTAGCTGCGCCAAAACTGTGGAATAGCCTGCCGGCTGGTATTAGGACTGCCAGAACTGTAGGTAATTTTAAATCAAAACTGAAGTTTTATTTGTTTGAAATGGCTTTTAACAAATGACATAGTGGCATGTTATAATTTGCATGCATTTACTTTTATTCTTTATTTTATTTTTTGGAAACTATTGCTTAATGTTTATGTACAGCACACTGGTCAACAGCTGTTGTTTTAAATAGTGCTTTATAAATAAAGTGACATTGACAAAATTACATCCTAACAAACACCCAACGTGCATTCAGACGTACACGGTGAATTCAGCAAACACACAATCTCAAAGACACACACACTCATGAGAACTTCAGCAACAGGTAGAACAGGAACATGTCTGCACTCACTCCCTCACATAACACCATCTGAACTATGCGGTACTAGACTAGACTAGTACAATTACCAACTGTTTTAACATGTATTATCACTGATTTACACTATATAAACTTTTCACATGCTGAACAGTCAGTGTCATCTAATAGGAGACAGGCCATGATTAAGGGAGACACATGCACGAACACTCCACAAATCATATCCAATGAGGTTCTAATGAGAACATACAAGTGCCTCTTGCAAAGAGTAGCGTAGTGTTAAAACGGGAGGAGTGCATGGGTCTATGCGTGCGCCACTTTTTTAGAAGAACCTAAATTTCAAATGTTTTTCAGTCTGTCAAGTAAATGCTATGAGATACGGAGAACCAGGACACACACTTAGGACAACTGAAAGGATCTAATGACCCAACAAAGCTCTTCTGAGCAACACACACTGCTATAGAGCTACACATCACAAAGGGCTGATGTTGTTGCTGCACATTTTGGACTGGTTTTAAAAGTGTAAATTGAGCTTTAACCAGAGCAACAATTAAGATGATACTAAGAAGTCTGTTATGAAAGAATGGTGTAAAAAATGGCAAACCTGAAAGCATAAGTGTGCAGTCCACCCGCAGCTTTGAGCGTCCAGCTCTATGAGTGAGTGAACAGAGGTAATAGTAGAGTTGGTTCAGAGTACAGAGGATCTGAACAGCACAATGTGGAGGTTAAAACGGGAGATGTGTGTTCTATGGTACATTAAAATACAGTGAAGGGGTTTCGCTGTACAGCAGGATAAGAATCACCCCACTAATTCTTCCAATTATCGATTATCCGTTCCTTTCAACCTGGAGAAGCATAAAAAAAAAATCCAACGGTCAGGGTTTTTTTTTTTTTGGAAGTGTTTGTCAATACAAGATTTTGTGCTTTATGCAAGAATGTGTAGTTCTGAATCATTCATAAATTAGTTTTGATCTAAATTGCCACATTGAATAAAATGCAACAGATTATGTAAGAATGGTTTTATGAATGATTTACACAAATCGTTTATAACCCACTGATAAAAAATAAAGCTCCTTCATAAAGCTATATAAAAATCAGAGATTTTTTATATTAACAGTAGGAAAAATAGTAAGCTAATACTATGTGTGTGTATATATATATATATATATATATATATATATATATATATACACATACATACATACATACATACATATACATACATATATACACATGCATACATGCATACATACATACACATCGAGGGATGCTCACTAAATTTTTACCATATAGGTAATCAACCAATATTACAGATTTTTTAAAATCTTTTCATCAGTTTCAGTTCAGAAAGTATATTTAAATGATTTTGAATATTTAATTGTGTATGCTCATTTTAACAATTTTATTTAAATTATCTTTGCTGTCATCTAACACATGCTTAATCTTTAAAATCACAATTTCACAATCACAAACAGTATTTTAACAACACTGATAAATGTCATCTTTAGCTAATTTAAAAATGAATATTAATTTTTCATACTGTACATTTTAAGTTTACATTTAAAAACAACCAATTTTCAAGAAAAACAACAGTTGTCAGCTTATCACTATCTGCAAGAATTTTAATATCTGTGCATCCTTATTTAATATTTATTATTAGAGGGCATATTTATTAATAATATATTGATTAAACTATGTCCAATATATAAGTACATATAAACAAGAAGTTCACAAAGTTAATTTTAACTACTTAGTTTATTAATTATGTCAATAGACTATCTCCTGGAAGAGTGACAGAGTAAAAAGGAAGTGTTACAATGATTGCTGTATGTACCTGTATGAGATGGGCAGGAGGAGATTGTTCTTCTTCAATGCTTGCACTTTGCTGAGAGTCTGGGGGTCGAGGGCGATGTAACAGCGCCGGGCATAGTCCAGAAGCTTTTCTTTAGACGGGTCAAACTCGCCCACCTCAGCCACCTTCTCTGGAGCCACCAGCAGAAGCTCGGCAATGGGTGTGGTAGAGGCCACCGTATTACGATCTACACCGTGGATCTGGAAGGCCTTGGACATGTTCTTTAACCTCTGGTGTGTTACCAGGATCTTTTTATAGCGGAACAACACACCTGCTGCATCTTTCACTAGAACAACAGCAAAAAGGAGAGAAAGATGAACAAAGAGAGCAGAAAGAGAAGATCACTTGCTTGTCATGTTTCTGTCATGCTCACCTCTCTGTCTTTCTCTCCCTCTGGCGATTCTGAAAACCCTCCTTCTCTTCAGAGCTGGATGACCGCCGGTGTGTCTTCCAGCTGTGCCAATATTCCGAAGTGACATGCTATCTGTTATCACATCCTCTCCTGACATCATTTCCTCTTCCTCAAGGTAGCTATCCTCAAGATAGGCATCCTCTTCTTCATCTCCCAGAAGAGTGAGGGATTCTGTGGCAGCACAAGATAATGTACTTGACTCAACCACTAATGTGATAATAAATGTTTCTTGAGCACTCAATTAGACTGATTTCTGAAGGATCACGAGACACTGAAGACTGGAGTAATGGCCGCTGAAAATTCAGCTTTGCATCACAGGAATAAATTACATTTTACATATAATAGAACAGAAAACTTTATTTTTTTGTTAATTGTAATATTTCACATTATTCCCAAAAGATTATAAAACTGTACCAACCCCAAACTTCTGAACAGTAGTGATTGTGTCCTGTATTGTGTCTGGTAGTGTAATCTTGATTAATCAGGTGATATAAGGCCATTTTTATATTAACGTCAAAGCCTGATAACCATGCCCACTTGACAGAATTAATAATTGTTAATATTGTGTACAATGTGTCAGCAATTTTTGTTTGCATCTCATTTGCACTATATGATATACGTGCACTACCAGCAGAAAGTTTAGACGCACCAATTCATTTTTAAAGGGGTCATATGATGCTGCTAAAAAGAACATTATTTGGTGTAATGAAATGTGTTTATGCGGTTTAAGGATCAAAAAACACATTATTTTCCACATACTGTTTCTCCTCTATGCTCCACCTTTCTGAAACGCGTCGATTTTTACAAAGCTCATCGGTCTGAAAAAGCGAGGTGTGCTGTGATTGGCCAGCTATCCAGTGCGTTGTGATTGGCCGAATACCTCAAGCGTGTGACGGAAATGTTACGGCCCTTACCATATTGTGATGCCTGCTGCAACCACATGTGACGACCCCGGGCTGGACTCCGCTTCGTCCACGGTGAAAGCTGATCCGGCGATCGACAGCGCGAAGTTGAAGTATTTCCTCAGCGACCAGCACGGATCAGCTC